TTTTTCATATAAAAAGTTTGAAAAGTTTTGTTTCAGTAAACTATAGCCATAATGTTCGCTTATGAAATCAAATAAATCCAGAAATTCTTCATCCTTTGTGTAGGACTTCACTACAACCCTTACTACACATTCTATAGTCTAAACTGCTGGGATTTTGTCTACAGGATACCCACTCTGAACTTCATTTTATAGGAAATAGTATGTGCAATGGAACTGAAAATTCTGCACATCTTCAGTTTACTTACAAGATATGACTAAAATAATAGAAGAAATCCAGAAAGGGTAATTAAATGAGGTCTGTTTTAAAAGTCCTTCTCCACTAGATGTCATTACAACCCAGCATTCAATTGCATGACAACCAGCATCATGGGAAGAAATAAAGTTTGATGAAGGATAACTTGAAAAAGATATAATGTCCTAGTTGGAAACCATAAAACCTCTTAAACCAAACTTTTTGCAGTTAAATGGTGGTAGAACTGTTACTCTGACTACATTAAATCTTATGCACACTGAGCTGGCTTATTTTTTAAAATATATGGATTACATTAAAAAAAAACAGTTGGAAGGGACATTGGAGGTCTTCTAGTCCACTCCTCTGCTCAAGTAGTAAACCCTCTACCATTCCAGACAAGTGGCTGTCCAGTCTCTTCTTAAAAGGCTCCAATATGGAGTAGCACCCACAACTTCTGGAGGCTAGTTGTTCCACTGATTAATTGTTCTAATTGTCAGGAAATTTCTCCTTAGTTCCAGGTTGTTTCTCTCCTTGATTAATTAATTAATTAATTAATTAATTAATTAATTAATTAATTAATTTGTATACTGCCCTTCTCCAACAGAACTCAGGGCAATGAACAGCCACGGTAAAACACAACATATAAAATTTAAAAGCAGTTTAAAAGACATTAAATAATTTTGGCCCTCAATTTAAAACAACCCAGTTAAAACCAATTACAAATTAAAACCGCAAGGATGGGATCAAGCCAGCCCGGCTAGATGAAATAGATGTGTTTTCAGGGCCCGACGAAAAGTCCGGAGGTCTGGTATCGTGCGTATCTCTGGGAGTAGGTCGTTCCAGAGGGCAGGTGCCGCCACAGAGAAGGGTCTCCCCCTGGGGGTCGCTAGCCGACATTGTCTGGCCGACGGCACCCTGAGGAAGCCCTCTCTGTGCGAGCGAACTGGCCGGTGGGAGGCAATTGGCGGCAGAAGGCGGTCTTGTAGATACCCCAGCCCTAAGCCATGGAGCGTTTTAAAGGTGGTCACCAACACCTTGAAGCGCACCCGGAAGACCACAGGAAGCCAGTGCAGCTCGCGCAGGAGAGGTGTCACATGGGAGCACCCCGTCGCTCCCATAATCTCTCGCACAGCCACATTCTGGACCAACTGGAGTCTCCGGGTGCACCCCAAGGGGAGCCCCATGTAGAGAGCATTACAGTAGTCCAGGCGGGAAGTGACAAATGCCTGAGTGACCGTGTGTATGGAGTCCCGATCTAGAAAGGGATGCAACTGGCGTATCAGGCGGACCTGATAAAAAGCCCCCCTGGCCACGGCTGTCATATGCTCTTCTAAAGACAGCCGTGTATCCAGGAAGATGCCCAAATTGTGAGCCCTTTCCGTGGGGGCCAATGATTCACCCCTAATAACCAGCAATGGTACCAGCTGGCTATATCGGGACGCCAGAAGCCACAGCCACTCGGTCTTGGAAGGGTTGAGTTAGAGCCTATTTCTCCCCATCCAGGCCCGCATGGCCTCCAGGCACTGGGACATCACTTCAAGGGCATCGTTGGGGTGGCCTGGGGTGGAGATGTACAGCTGAGTGTCATCAGCGTACTGATGGAACTGCACCCCAAAGCCATGGATGATCTCACCCAGCGGCTTTACATAAATGTTGAAGAGAAGGGGCGAGAAGACCGACCCTTGCGGCACCCCACAAACAAGGCACATCGGGGTCGACCGCTGCCCCCCCTGCCAACACAGATTGCGACCGGTCAGAGAGGTAGGAGGAGAACCACCGCAAGACGGTGCCCCCCACCCCCAACCCCTCCAACCGGTGCAACATGATACCATGGTCGATGGTATCAAAAGCCGCTGAGAGATCTAACAGGACCAGGATAGAGGAGCACCCCCTATCCCAAGCCCTCCAGAGATCATCCACCAACGCGACCAATGCCGTTTCCATACTGTACCCAGGCCTGAAGCTGGACTGCAGTGGATCCAGATAGACAGCTTCATCCAGGTACTGTGGAAGCTGCCACGCCACCACACTCTCAACAACTTTCACAATAAAATGAAGGTTGGAGACTGGACGATAGTTAGCAAAAACAGCCGGATCCAGAGAGGGCTTCTTGAGAAGGGGCCTCACCACCGCTTCTTTCAAGGCGGCCGGTAGGACACCCTCACTCAAGGAAGCGTTAATAATCCTCTGGAGCCAGCCTCATGTAACCTCCCAGGAAGCCAGCACCAATCAGGAGGGACATGGGATCAATAAACATGTGGTTGCGTTCAGCCATCCCAGAATCCTGTCCACATCCTCAGGAGCCACAGGATCGAATTTCTCCCAGATAACACTCTCAAGACCTGTCTCAGTCATCTCGTCTGGACTTACCCAGTCAGATCCCGACTCTGAGCAATCTTGTCCTGCAGATACTGCACAAAATCCTCAGCTCGACCCTGCAAGGGATCATCCCGTGCTCCCAGATGGAGGAGGGAGTGGGTCACCCTAAACAGGGCGGCTGGGCGATTATCTGATGATGCAATAAGGGCGGCAAAATAACTAGATTTTGCCGCTTTTATCGCCACTAGGTAGGTCTTAATATGAGACCTCACCAGTGTTCGGTCGGATTTGGAACGGCTGGTCCTCCAACCGCTCTCCAGGCGTCTTTTCCGGCGCTTCATCTCCCTCAGCTCCTCAGAGAACCAAGGAGCTAAGTGAGTTCGGTGCCGGGTCAGAGGCCACAAAGGCACGACGCGGTCCAAAGCCACAGCAGCTGCACTGTCCCAGGCAGCCACCAGGATTAGTTTCCATCCATGCTTCTTGTCTTGCCCTCAGGTGCTTTGGAGAATAACTTGACTCCCTCTTCTTTGTGGCAACCCCTGAGATATTGGAACACTGCTATCATGTCACCCCTAGTTCTTCTTTTCATTAAACTAGACATACCCAGTTCCTGAAACCGTTCTTCATATGTTTTAGCCTCCAGCCCCCTCATCATCTTTGTTGCTCTTCTCTGCATGCTTTCTAGAGTCTTAGCATCTTTTTTATATCATAGTGACCAAAACTGGACGCAGTATTCCAAGTGTGGTCTTACTAAGGCATTATAAAGTGGTATTAAAACTTCATGTGATATTGATTCTATCCTTCTGTTAATGGAGCTTAGAACTGTGTTGGTTTGTTTGGCAGCTGCAGCACACTGCTGGCTCATATTTAAGTGATTGTCCACTAGGACTCCAAGATCCCCCTCACAGTTACTACTATTAACTGACGTATGTGTTGCCCACATTGACTTTAAATTAGTCATGGAGGCAAATAGGAAGACACTGTAGAGGTCTGAGGAAATAGCCTTGAGGGAAAGGAGGAAGTGCTTCTACCAAGACAATGATCAGATGAAAGGGGCCCAAGTGCAGGGCAAGAACAGTAATGTGAGTAAATGTTTCAGACCAGCCCCTCCCTATTTTACATGAAGATGAAGGAAGAGAGAGAAGCACATTCAGTCTTGCAAGATTCTGTTATTATTATAGTTTTTCAATAAAAGTCCTATGTGGCTTTGATTTCCTAGTCTAATCTACCTTGATGGCTGACAATGCTGAGGACAAAATGAGAACATTTTCCACTGTAGGTTTTTGCAGTGATATATTTAATACCTAAGTTTGTCAACTAAATGGAGAACAAGTATCCTGGACAATTTGGAGAACTTTACCACTATCTTTTCTGTCTAATTTTTAAAAATTTCTCATTTGAAATGCTTTCAATGTGCTATCGGCTACAGAAGGGGTAGCCAATTTTCTGTATTACCTGTGCTGCGGGTTTTAATCTGATGCCTCATTTGTTTCTCTATGGTCATGGTATACACATGCCTTAAGATATTATCAAATTGATTTTAGAAATGGAGGGTAGATATGTGTTGTGTATGTATGTATATGTGTATCTGGGTTTTAAGATGGTATTTGGTCATAGCTGCTTTAAAAGGTCTTTTCTGTGAATGTGGCTTGGAAATGTTGGTAAGAGAGATGGCTGGTAGACACAAATGGGTGCTTGGAGTGTTCCTGGATCTAGTCTCTTGGAGCTCAATGGTGGCTGTACAATATTGGCTTGGATGGACCCAGATCTGTAACCCAGGAGTTTGGCTGGCTGCAGAAAGTGAAGCTTAGATGAGAACTGGGAAAATTTAGCTGTCATTGGCATAGGAACACTGAAAACATCAGATTACTAAATTATCTCATCTGGCAGGTATGGTGACAACAACAGCAAATAAGCCAATTGACTCACCTCTGCTGTTTGGTGGAGCTGCAGCTGCCTTTAAAGGTAAGGTGGGTTACCATTATTGGCATAATGACAAACATAAAAGCTAGGATACCTGATGAGGGAGATCTCCGGAGGCTTGAAGCTTCACTGCAGGAGAACTGGAGCTCACAGTAATGGTGTAACTGAGAGGAGCTGCAGATTTAACCACCATCTGCACTATGACTTTGATGCTGGGTCCCAGAGGAGACATTGGAACCAGCAATGTTGCTAAAATGCTGAGAAGCTTCATTTAATCCAAAAGGCAGCAGCCCAGTTACTCTTGTCATCATGAGCCTATTACATCTGGGCTCTGCAGAAGCTCCCTATGAGCTTCTGGCTACAATTCAAAATGCTAGTTGTAAGCTGTAAAGTCTTTCATTTCTTGGCAGCAAGCCACTTTGAAAAGCACCTCCTCCTAAGGATATGACCCACGTGGAAGAACCTGTGGATCCTGATGGATAATAGAGCATCTAGGATTTTTTGATTTATTTTATGCTCTTGGTTTAATGGTTTATAATGTTTATTTGAGTCTTGCTGTGGATGTTTTAATTCTGAGTGCCTTGTGTTTATTTGCTCGTAGTTGTTGTAAACTGCCAAGCCTCTGATCAGTTGCAGTGAGCATAAATGAGACAAATAAAATGTAAAATGAATGGATGGATCAGACAGATAATGGTTTAAGTATTTTCATTCACAAAGCTTAAAGTAATTTTTGGTTCAATTAATTTTTAAACTAGGTTGACCAGGTAAACAAGAAAAGTTCAGCATTCTTTATAATCAGTGTAATTCAATACCTCCATCCTATCTGTGTTGCAAATATTGCCTATTCTGTAAAATAGTCAATTGAAACCAAACACTTTTCTTTTGGGTTAAATAGCTTGAAAAAAAAGTCATGGGACTTTGTTTTTGTATATGGTAACTGTAGCAAAATTATTACATGCTCAAAAATGGAAAAGTTCAGCACTACTCACATGGAGGAATGGCTGAAGATGATGGAATTAGCAGAGGTGGCTAAATTGACTTTTTACTCATAGAAAAGAGAATATCTATATTTACTGCTGACTGGAAACCCCTTATGGACTTTCTAAAACATCTAACCCCTGCCCAAACTTTTGATTTGTGGTTCTGATAATTAGAAAATATTAGGTAATAGAAAAAGAAGAGCTTTTTGTAACTATAAAGACATATTTATGTAATAATATTTGCTACAGAAGAAAATTGGAAGCTTCTTTCTATATCTTTTTTTCTTTTTGCACCTTTGTCCTTTCCTTCTTTTCCTTTTTTCCTTTATTTTTTAATGGTTTTTGATAGTTTTTTTTAATCTTCTCTCTAAAACTTGTAATAAAAGTTATACAAAAATAACCTGTAAAATAAGACTGGATAGTTAAAATGAAAAATTATTTTGCCTGCTTATACACAGTCTAACAAACTATAAACAGTTCAGAAAGCTTGACTCCTAGAAATTATGCTAACCAATTTCCAGTACCATGGAAAGCTTTAGGTTCCTCTTATTTTACTACCCGGTTTTTTAAAAAAAATAAAGATCAAGTTCATTTCTTGACCTTTAGGGATAGTGGGAAGTAATGAGGATTGGCATAACAATGATCACACATAATCTCTCCCCAATTAACAGGATGCTTCAAATATCTCTTAGACAATGAAAACCAGTAACTGGGATTTCAAAATTCAAAGTAATAGTAACATACATAGACAATTCTCTATTGTCTTTTAAAACTTAAATGATAGGAATGAAATAATTTCCTTTTAGAATTATTTTAATACCAGTATATATACTTTTGGAAAATTGCATCTCTGGCTGATAGCTGCAAGAAACTTCCATTTAGCCAAAGAAGTCCTGGCAACAGTTCTTCTCTACAGCATGGATAAATGTCCTGAAATTCCAGGAAAGTCTAGGAAATCTTAATAAAAACAGCCACATCCACAAGGGGCACTGAATAATTCCTGAGGAAGGTTCCCCCATCAAACATCTGGGCAGTGTTGGTATCCATCCATTTCTGACCTTCTCTAGGTAGGTAGATGTCCCTCTGGAATTGCCCTTGTTCTGTTACTGGAGCAACAAGAACCTGCATTTAACAAAGATAATCTCATTAATAATATCTGAGAGACAAAATGTATATAAATACAGTTGGTCTTAATATAGAAGATATGAAGCTCACTTGAAACTTGTCCACAATTATTTGATCAGACCAGTTCTAGGCACAAAGTTGCCCAGACACATTTTAAAACAGTAAGAGACATTTTTATCCTGCACCTGTAATTCCAATTTTTCACTTTATGTATAAAATATTTAAGACTTATAATTGCAATTTAGTTATTTCTATTATGTGATGATATATTTTGATTATATAATATGGGAATTTCTCATTTATATGAAGTAGCAGTTTCAAGGAAAGGAAATAGGACAACCCTATTTGTCCAAAATATCTTACAGAAACATACGTTGTAAACAAGAGAGCTGTGGAATGCTTTGGCTTTGATTCATAAAGGCATTTTAGAGTGTGAAGTGGTGTAAACAGGGCACTCGCTTGCAATTCCTTAAAGCAGTTTTGGCTTTCCACATGTCATGAGGAAATTGCAGAGGGCAGCCATGCAAATCAGTGAAATGACATGGTTGCTTTAAAGACTAGCAGACAAAGTGCTATGCTCACATTCCAAGACAATTTTTGGAATCAAATCTGAATAGCTTTCAACCCTATTTAGAACACAAAGGAGCAACCACATCATTCATTTCTTTTGTGCTGATCCCTAACCTGCAGTATAAGGATGCTATTAAATAGTTATGTCCTTCTTTACTGTGTGCAAGGCAAGTTAAGAAACAGGATGGGTGGATTCTAACATAGTTTTGCTCACTTTCTACCAAATGTCACCTGTCCATGACAAAGCATCCACCAATCACCTTCTTAATTGGGATGGAAATGGAATAGGAAGAAACAGCAGATTTGATAATCTCTCCAAAGTCTCTCCAAGCTTTGCAGAAGGGATTTTTAGGATTGGGAGAAGAGGTAGCTGAAGGGAAGGATTTGACTATCTACCAACTGGGTCTCCAATCCTATGGAGTTTATTAGAACAGATACAGGGTACGTAAAAAGATCCTACTTCAGTGTTCAGCTTGTTAGGCTCCCACTGCTTTTTAGGCTTTTTAAAGCTGCTTTTAAACATAAAGGTTTAAACATATTCTTTTGAAACAGTGCTAAAGCCATATACAGACAGCTTTGGAACATGGGTTTAGCTCTCTTTCAGAAGTCCAACTATCAGGTGGAGCGAAAGGATGCCTAGTGACAATTTATTATGAAGCAGTCTATCATAAACTAAGAGGTGGGTGATCATTTTTCTTGCAGTTTTGTAGCAGAAGACATATGAGAAAAAGAAGAGGGGAACTAGAGCAACAAAATCTTGATCTAAAATACTGCTAAATGGAAAGTCCCTGAAATATAGACAACTTAGACTTGAAGCTAGAAAGGTGTTTTAGATCCTGTATTTGTATCTGTCTACAGTTAAAGGACTCCACCTACAGCGAGGGAACACCATGTAAATTCCCATCCACACATTGTATACCAAAGCTCTAGGTAATTGTTTTCCTGATGCATTCCAAATTCTCCCACGAAACAACGTTGCTGAGCTGTTTTGGGTCTGTGGAAAACGTCACATTGGTAAAACTGGAAGCATCACGGCGAGACTGGCTGGAGAAATAGCAGGTTCTGATGAGCCATGCGAAAATACAGCCAGACAAACTGCTGTCGGTGTGTGTGTGTGTATCTTCGGACTGGAACCATCCTGTAGGGATGGTGAAGAAGGAGAGGTGCCTTGGATGACCAAGAGGAACAGGCAAGTTCCTCGAAAAGTCAGAGACTGCTCTTCGAACCGGCGGCGGGGGCAGCGGCCATTGAAAAATGACCGCTCTGAAGCTGGGGCAACCGGACTAAGTTGTTAGTGCAGGAGCGGTGTCCGAAAGGAGTGTTGGTACTGGGTGAGAGATTGGCCAACTCACAGGTAAAAAAAAAATTTTTTTTAATAACCTCAAAAGGTGTCCCGGAGCAGAAATGAGTGGCTAATTGGCACTTGGGAAAGTTAATGGAAGGAGAAGAACAAAGAGAAGGTTAAAATACTAAAGCCCAAGAAAGAAAATTTTACAACTGGATTTAAAATTGCATTTGGAGAAATTAAAAATAATAAAAGAAGAAGAAACCCAAGGGAAGGTAATTTCTATGTGGATTAAAATATTTTTGATAGTTTTGACATCTGAAGGAAAAGAACAAGGAGGAAGTTAAAATACTAAAGTCCAAGAAAGAAAATTGTATATCTGTTATATTATTATAATTATATTTAGCTATAATTGTATAGCTAAAATTGAATTTGGAGAAACTAAAAACAACAAAAGAAAAAGAAACCCGAGGAAAAGAACTCTTTATGTGGATTTAAAATATTTTTGACAGCTTGGATATTTACCATATTTTTCAGAGTATAAGACGCACCGGAGTATAAGACGCAGCTTAGTTTTTGGGGAGGAAAATAGGGGGAAAAAATCTGCCTATCAGATATTCATCTGACTAGCATCCTTAGTCTGGTCAGCTTCAGCACATTAGTTTGCTGGTTTTTTATCCCCTGCTTGGGGATAAAAACAGCTTCTAAGGCACAGTTGAGAGGAAGCAGCAATGAGAAAAGCAGGCAAAGCATAGGGAGATTGCTTCACTTGGCTAGTGCCTAGGGCTAGTGCTTAGGGCTGAAAAAAAGCTTCTAAAGAACAGATGAGAGTCGGACCAAAGCATGGAGATAGCTTCACTCACTAGCACCTCGTTAAAGCACAGAGGAAAGTCGAGGGAGCAGGCAAAGCTGGGAAAATTGCTTCACTCACTAGTACCTCATTAGCACCTCATTAGGGCTGAAAAAAAGCTTCAAAAAAGCTACATTCAGAGTATAAGATGGACGCAAATTTTCAGCCTCTTTTAGGGGGGAAAAGGTGCGTCTTATACTCTGAAAAATACCGTAGTTGCTCTGAGAATATTGTGGATTTGAGAAAGACATCTGCTGGTGGAAAGTGACTACTGCAATATTGGTGGGAAGACAGAAAAAAAACAACAGCTGCGACCGTGATTTAATCTGGAAACTGTGAGAACTTTTAAGGAGTATCTGTTTTTCTGAACTGCTTGGTTTTGACTGTCAACAATTGTGGAAAGTAACAAAGCTTTAATTTGGAGTGGATTGGATAAATATTTGAATTGGATACTATTTGGAATTAAAAAGAGACTACATGGACTTTAGAATTTCAATTAAATATAAAGTAAAAGTGAAAGCGTCGCATCATTCACAATCATTCTAGTGAATCCTCTATCCAAATATGGCAATGATAGAAATTCAGCAATATAAAATGGAGAATGGAAAGGAACTGCATGGGAAGGAAAATTTTCATATTTTTTTATGCCACTCCAGGCAAAAGTTTGATTACAATGGTATTTTATGTAGCCAATAAAGCTAACTCAGAATAAAGACTTTGCAACAAATAAACCCATATTTAATTCATAAAGTTTGGACAGAAGGAAATGAGAATGATTAATCCCAACAACCTCCAGCCCATCTTTCTAGAAGATCAGCTCTGTTCCTTCCTTGCTTTGGCTTAAGGAAGTGACATTGGAATTACTTATGATGACTGAGAGAAAAAAGTTAAAATTTACAATGTGCTTCCCTTCAAGGAAAAATGGATGAGCCAATTACTCTAAGGCATTCTATGTGGAACTTTATCTGAAAGCTGCAGCTGGTGCAGAATGTGGTGGCCAGATTGCAGAGCAGAGCTCTTAGCTGTCTCTGTGAAAGCAATTTGCACCGGCTGCGAATTAGTTCCTAAAGCATATGAAGACCGGAACAACTTGGAGTATTGGTAGACCATCTTTGCTGTTACAGACATGGGTGATCACTACGACCATCTAAGTCTAGCTGTGCGCCAACCTTGGCAGAAAACCATTTTGCATTTTCTCATGAGCAGCTTTCTTTCTGGGGGTGCATATGAACCCCAGGATGCATTTGGCATTGCATCCTGTAAGTAACTTTTGAAGAACTACCTGTTTAGCCAAGCCTTCCCTGCATGGATGTTGGATAATGTTTCCTCTCCCCCACCAACTCTGTAGTCAACAACCTGTATTGTATACCTTTTATATAAATATTGTAAATTGCTTGGAAAGGCATTTGATGGGAGGCAGTATGGAAATATACTACATCTAATATATTGCTGATGTATCACTAACCAAAAAAATCTAAATCTCTACCATGTCTTTCTTAAATTACATTGCTTAAAAGAACATCAAACCTATTCTTCTACTTCTTTTTTACTTGCTCTCCCAGCCTTCCTTTTCTATTATCTGTTTTAAAATGAAGCAAACACAGTATTCTATGCACACTGTTCAATCAGGCCACGCTAGTAATTGTGACAGCTTTTCAAAAGGCCTTTAAAAAAATAATCCTTTTCTCCCTCCCTCCTTTAACAAATACCATAGCCCCAAGCATGTAATGCACACTGGTTGACTTCCATTGACTGATTGACATTCTAGTAGATTAATTCCCAAAGGCTGATGAAAGAGAACTATCTTGCAGAAGTCTTCAGTTTTTTTCTTCAACTGAGTGCCTTCCCAATGTGTCAGTGTCACTGTATTTGATCATTGTCATCAGTGCTAGCTGGAATTTTGATGGGAGTGACCATCAGGTTTGGGAAGGGTGGATTATGTTTTGACAATGTCAGTCTTAATAAATATATTTTTGCTGATGTGCTGTACTGTATTTTTAAAGTATTTTCAGAAGTGATAGTGTGATGCACTCAGAGTTCTTTTTTTTTTCTTAACTGGAGAGAGATTTCCAAAAGCCTTAGGGAGCTGACATTTTCAGGTATTCTAATATGCATGTAAAAAATTGTCAGTCAGCCCTTTGGAGCTGACCTAAAATATGCTAGGAAAGAATCCATGTCTTACCTCCTCGCCTATGAGAAACTGGTCATCAATGGTAAAGGCAGCTGGCTCAGTGGGGCTGAACCACCAGGTGGGTCGAAAAATTGGATCCCCCCTAGATAGCCATTCCTTGCTGTATTTCTCAATGAGTGGAACCACAAAATTCTGGTGTCTGTGAATATAATACCTGGTGAGGTTCAACACCTGTAAGAAAGGAAGGACAATAGCTTTAAAAAACAATAACAAATCAAAACAAAGAAAAGGTTATTTTAAAATATGTCTTAATGATGAGTAGTAGGTACAACAAGCATTATTTGCAAACACTTCACTAAATATAGAATTAGCCAGAAAACATGGACTTCTTGATATTTCATCAGTTTATTCAGCTTCTCATCATAATTAGTCACTGATGGAAATTTCCTCCCTGAACTGAACGTGGTCAGGCTTTACCATCGTTACCAGTGGCAGCAGCAACTGCACATGCCTCCTGAAATATAATCTAATGAGACACTTCAAGAGAAGAAAATGATAGAAAAGCAACTTGTGTAAAGTCAACTGGTCAAAGCCTAGAGTTCTGAAAAGAGGTTAAAGCCAACAGAGAAAGAGGGAGGGAAGGGAAGGGAAGGGAAGGAAAAGGGAGGGAGGAGAGGAGAGGAAAAGAAAGGGAAGGGCTTCCAGAAGTTTTTAAAAAGGAGCAATCCCTAGCAATGCGGTAAGGCTTCTGGAAATCTGGGCTAATTTGATGACAAAAGCAATAGCATTTTAGACTTATATACTGCCCATAGTGCTTTATAGCACTCTCTGAGCGATTTTCAATGTCAGCATTATTTGCATATTGCCCCCAACAATCTGGGTTCTTGTTTTACTGACCTCGGAAGGATGGAAGACTGAATCAACCTTGAGCTCCAGTCAGGATCAAACTCCAGACTATTGCATTTAACTACTGTGCCACCAGGGCTCAGGACTTTACAGCATTTCCTATAGAGAAATGGGGCAGAGATTTCCCATTGATGGCCATTCTCACCTTGCTGGCTTCCTGTCACACTACCCTCCCTTATTTTCCATAATTGCATTGCTATCCTTCTGATACAATCTCCAGTTAAGACCTTTTAAGCCTGTTTTTTTCCTTTGACTTGAAAAGAGCCACAGTGAGTAAAAGAACAAGGAACGGGGAAAGGTGCCAGTTAGCTGCCTTTTTAGTGCCCTTCCATGGCCAGTTGAAGGGAGTCCTGGCCAAGGCAACAAGGGGGAAAGTGAGCGCAGTTGCCAAGTGTTACACAAAATTGCTGCTAATTATTTGGATTGCAAAACTGGCAGTCACATGAAAAGGCATGAGGAGAAAGCTACTAATAGCTAAATTGAAAGGAAGAAGTAATACAAAAGGAACTGAGGGTTGATGGGTAGAGGAGAAGGAAGAAAGTAAAGGAGGAAGAAGAGAAGGAAAGGGAGTTTGAATTGGCTAGGAGAGTCAGAGAAGCCCATGAATGGCACTGTGGACACAGCAAACCAGGTTTTAGCTAAATTTAGTACTAAAGCATGAGGCTTAAAATGAAAGGTTGGAAGCACCTTAAAATATTATTATGATTGATGGGGGAGGAAAGTTAAGAACATAAATTAGAGAATAAATAAATGAAAATGAAAAAGCAAAAGTTTGCAATATTAAGAAGGAAAATATCACAGGAACATTTACTAGAATCTGAGGACAAAAAGAGGCATTCTGCAGAAGCATAAACACCCAGGTTCACAAGAGAATAGAATGAATTGTTATGAAAAGGAAAATAGAAATAAAAAGGAAAATTAAATGGATTGTTTGAGAGGGCCTTCATGGATTTCTGTTGTATCCACCTTAAACTTGAAGATGATTAAGCCTTCCAAAGGATACATTGGAGAATGAAAAACAGTAAGAGCCAACAGAGTATGTGAGAGAGACAAATGTGGGATGTTTCAACAATTTTGTAAAGAATTTTGAGATTGAGTCATGTCATCAAGTTTTGTCAACACTTAGGGACCAAATAGACAGATTTTCTCCATGATGAGCTGTCCCTAATCTGATTCTTCAGTTCTTCCAGTGATGCACATCACTATTTCTTCCATACACCTTGCCTCTGGTTTTCCTCTCCTCCCCTTTCCTTCTATCTTGCCCAACATTAAAGCCTTCCCAAAGTGCTGGGTCTTTGCATAATGTGTCCAAACTAAGATAATTTGAGCCTGGTCATTTGTGCCTCAAGGAAGAATTCTGGGTTGATTTATTGGATGATCCATTGTTTGTTTGTTTTTTTACTTGTCTGTCCATGTATTCTCAGAAGTCTTCAAAAGCACCAAGATACATTTATTCTAATTATGGTGAAATAATTTGTCATTCACGCTCAGAAGAGAAATAATGAATGGCAAGATGCTATCTTATCTGCATTAGATCTCAAGTTTTAACAACTATAAAGGACAAGCACATCTTTTTCAGAGGAACTTGAAAGGTAGCAAACAATCAGCCTGGAAAAAGGTTTCTTTGATTTTAGTACCATTAGAAAACAAAAATAAACCATTGAAGTTTACCTACCCAATCACCACAACAGACCCACGGGGGAGTCCTGAAAGACATGACTGGAAGGAAGGTGACAATCTGGAGCCATCTAATATATAGCTCTTCATCAGTCAGAAATTCAGCAGAAAATGTTCCACCTTTACAGAATATACAGAAAGCTAAATTAGCAGACTATATGTTCAGCTGTAGTATTCAGTTTAATTTTGGATTCAGTAAATGAGTAACCTCTATATTGAGTTGATAATATAATTCAAGTCATTTTAACATCACTTCTCTGTTCTCTTGATAACCAGGGCAGTATTAAATCATAGCATAATCAATATCATATCCCAGATCTACCCAGTGGTGAGTTTCTGTGCTTTTACATTCCCAATCCCTTATCTGATAGTTTAGAAACCAGGGAAAGGGAGTGGGGGAGCAGAATTGCTGTTAAAATCAGCATTATTTTTTTTAAAAAAGAAGATCACAAATAATAAAGGAACTAAAACCAAGGAAGGCCTGATCCTATGTACATTTTGCCACTGATTAAATTGGAACAGAGCAAGTGTGGTGAAGCATGTCAGAAAACTGTATAATAATTGTAGTGGAAAATAACATTTCTGACTATCTGACTCTTGAGAGAAAGCAATATAATTGGCCTGGATGGTTTAGGGCATGAAAAATTAAACTGATACACATTTCCAGCTGGAACAGTACAGTACTAATATAAATAGCTGAATTTCAGACAAATGACCCAGATAATTTCCTGTTAAAAGAAGGGAAATCTTTCATCTCCCTCTGTCAAACACATGCTTCACATTCATTTTTCAGGCAGCATTGCTCTTATATAACAATAGTAATAAAAAAAACCCAGACAAAACCATAAGAGTAGAAATGGAGTACTGACTATTAAATGTTTCATGCTTCTGGGGCTTTTATTTTATTTTTTTTTGCTAAACATTATATTCCTATTATCACATATTTATTGCATCTGGATCTTTTAAAGACCAATCCAACTCAATCTAACTTATTTTCACCTAAGCTACTAGAATTAAAGTACCATTGAGAGTCTGTTCTAACAGTGCCTATCTCTTGATCAATCCAAAATCTCTAGTATCAAGACAATGAGTTGTTAGTTAGTTAGTTCTCATATTTCTGAACCACCCATCTCCCTCAAAGAGGGACTCTGGGCGATGTACAATAAAATATAAACACAGTATATAAAAATTAAAATGTTAGAATTAAAAATTAATTGTTTTTAGAAGGGACAAGAATAATTAAACCCTGTTAAAAATTAATTAAAAAGGTGAAGGGAGGTCTCTCAGGGAATCAACTACCCTGTTTTCCCCAAAATAAGACATCCCTGATAATAAGCCCTTTTGAGCGCATGGCAATAAGGCCAAGCGCTTATTTCAGGGTTCAAAAAAATATAAGACAGGGTCTATTTTTGGGAAAACACGGTAGTCTTACAGCTGCCTGCTCCTCTCACAAGTGAGACTGCAGAAGGGAAGGGCAGGAGAATTGGAGGCCTGTCTTACCTCTGGGGGAGAATATTCGGGGGCGACAATAGGGAAGGCTCTCTTCCTAGATCATACCAGTCAGAGTTCTTTAACTGAGACGGTCTGCAACATACCTTCCCTGTCTGACTGGGTGGGGCAGGCCAATGTAACGGGACTAAGCAGGTTCAGCAGGTAGCCTGGCTTTTATGAAAAATGAAGCCATGTTTTACAATACAAGGAAATTACTTTGTTGTGTAACATTGAATTATATCTGCAAGTACGTTATTGCATGTCTCAAAGCAATACATTATGCCTATTCTGGGAATGGCCTACAAGAAAGCAAAATGCATCAGACAAACTGGATAGAAACATTTGAGCTGGCACAAGCCAGAAAGCATTGCTTTCTACTTAGATCAGGCAAATATAAGTGATAATATGAGGATTTACATTGGCCAAGAGCCATTGGAAGGCAACAACATCATTTCCCACCCTCCAGAAATGTTTGGTGGCCCATAGTCAGGATAGGGCATTTGGCAAAATAGGACTTGTGCTATTTTGTATGATATGCAACTTTACTTCCTCTGGGTTGTAAACCACGGCTTAAGGCATAACACAGTATATCAAACTAGTCATTTATTCAATGAAGCGTGGTTTAAAAAGGCACTGCTTAGCATAGCATGATTGTTGGAGATTATGGAAACAGACTTTAAAGCAGTCTATTCCAACACTCAGAGAGAACCTTGAAATTACAGAAACAACTTTTATTTTAGGCAATCTGAAATCATCTCAGGCTTTTAGCTAAATTTGTATGAATATGGCTTAGGCCAATTTATTTTGCAGTACAACTGTTTGCACACTATCTGCCCCATTCAATTCCATCTTTTCTTTAGCAGAATGCCTTTCCCCAGGCTTGTGATGGATGCATTTGACACAAAGAGCTAGCTCTGCTTATTCGGTGACAGATTCCTCATTGACCCTGAGGCTGGTTGCCTTCTTCTTTCAGTTTAGGAAAGGGCTTCAATCTCTTTGTTCAGGTTTTAAGGGTTTGCCTTTTTTCTTGCTGCCTTCAATTATTTTAAGACTAAATGTTGAATGCTGCCTGAAGCTATAAAATGAAAGTCAGTAGGCTAAAAGAAATAAAGTTGATGACATCTCCATGGAATTGGAAAAATACCATGTTTTTTGTCCTCCACAAGTACAGAAGATAAAGGATGACATTTTAGAGATCCTCAATAGCTTTATTTTAGATTTTGCAGATGTCCAGAAAGTTTCTTGGCATAACTTGAGCTAAATGGTACAAATTGATGGCTAATGAAGAACAGCCAAAAGTATCTGGCGATTTTCATTCATAATCAGAAATCTGAAATACAGTTTCATATCTTATCAAAGGAAACTGTCTTTTAATCGGGTCATTTGTCAACATAACACATGATTATGCTGATTGGCTTTATGTCTTCAGTTTTCAGATCAAAACAATTTTAGGTCTTCTTGGAGTCTGAAGGCATTAAACCTGGGAAACTTTCACACAGAAAACATACTATATCTTTGAGATCTGGAATAGATGTAATCCATGCTACGAATCAGCTACAAAACCAAAAGGCCCTGTGCTTTCATCAGTTAGATAAATGAAGCCAGGATTAAATGTATATGGATTTTCTACTTATATCCTTCAATTGTTTTTACTAGTACGCAGATTAATGCCTGATAATTGAAATCAGACAACTCCAGCATGGTGGCAAAATTTGACATTGATGTCAGTTTGTGTACATTTGTTTCCCAGTAGGAATCTTAAAAGCTGCCTTTTATTGTCAGACCAGTAATCCATCTAGATATACAAATTGACTGGCAGTTACTTGGTGGAATTTCAAAAAGGATTAGTTCCCCTGAATATTACATAGAAAAGGTGGCACTGGATTTGTAACTTTCTGTTTATAAATATGTTATATTGGAAAGTTATTGCCTGGGTTTTCATTTATATCTCTATTAGCCTTTTAATACAGCTTTTGAAAGAAGCAGACCATATAATAATATTACCTATTGCATCTGGAATGAAAAAGTTATAACCAAGAAGACTATAATGAAGCACAGATGGAATAATCCCTTTCAAACCAGTGTAACTCCAGTCAGATTGTCGTGGATTCATTTGGAAAAAGAGTGGCAGGTGGCTGGATCTATAAGCAATACAAATAATTATACGATAAACATGGAATTTCTTAAATGCCCAATAAGTGCTTACTGAAATTAGCAAATGCTGCATCAAAATCACAAAAAGTCAAATAGACCTTGAACATGAAATCAGACTCTGCTTTTAATTATCACTCCTAACTTGCTAAATAGAAAGGCTAAGCCAGAATGAATGGTTGCATACATGGCTTTGGGGATCAACCCAGGGGTGAAATCTAATTTTTTTTGCTACCGGTTCTGTGGGCATGGCTTAATTAGTGGGCATGGCTTGGTGGTAAGGTGACTGGGTGGGCGTGGCCAAGTCAATGTCACTTCTTTGCCCTTTTTTAACCTACAAAACACAACACAACACAACTGGCTCACCCACAATGTAAAAGCAGCTGTGCTAGACCCAAAATGGCCCCTGTAACAAGCAGGAACCTCATACAGCCACAAAAAGCCCCAAAAAAACAACTTTCACATTTTACACACACACAACACAACACAACACAACTGGCTCACCCACAATGTAAAAGCAGCTGTGCTAGACTCAAAATGGCCCCTGCAACAAGCAGGAACCTCACACAGCCACAAAAAGTCCAAAAAACCAACTTTCACACTTTACACACACAAAATTCCACATACAGCTTTGTGAGATTTTGTGTGTTTGTGTAGTTAGAGTGAAACACTACAGAAAGACACTAAATCTCAGAAAGCTGCACAAATATTATTTTATTTATTTTATTTTTATATAAAAGCAGCTAAATAAACCCGAGCCGGTCCGAACCGGGAGCATTTCACTCCTGGATCAATCACTCTGCTATTCACTAGAATACAGCAAACAGAGGAGAAGTGTGGCTAGTTGATATTTCCTCTCTAGAAATCCCTCTAGAAAACAAACTTGGTCAAAGGAAGGTCAGGAAATAAATATTTTCCAACATGCAATTCAGACTCACGTGAAGCTCTTTCAAGACAGCTGGGGGATTAAAAGACAAGAATTTCATCACTCAAAAAGAATGGAAAGCAACTGTTCAAAACGTTCGGATTAAGGTCTGATTTTAAAAACACTAACTGGAATTTCTATTGTTCAGATTTGTCCCAGTGAAATGATAGTTGTAACTGCTAAGGTTATTAGAATTAATGACGGAGTCATTGACTTGCATGTGTAGAAAACTCCTTTTAACAGAAAAGAATGAAAAAAATGGGATGAAAATACTTAGTTATGTGGCACAGAAGCGAGGAGGGCTGCTTGCAAATGCATGGAGCTAGGAAACGTTTGAAAGATATTCATGCAGGATTTGGAGAGGTCTAGATTCTAGAATTTTGATGGCAGAGCACTTTCCTAGAGCAAGAGGAGCTCAATTTGATGGCAGAGCACTTTCCTAGAGCAAGAGGAGCTCAATTTGGAGTGTAAAAACTTCTTAAGTAGGAAAACAAAAGAAGAGTCGTTATTGAGATTGTGATCAAACCAATCTGTTCAAATCATCTATTTCCTGGCATGAGATGTTAGATCTCCATGGAGTTTCCCATCAGCAGGCACTCACATTTGTGCTAAGGGACTTAGGGTCATGACATACTGGCATTCTTTCATTCTTCTACTTAAAATGAGGTGAACTACCAAATGATGTTATAGCACCTTTCCCTACAGTAGCCAATACTTTATGTACTTATTGTGAAGTGGAGATGATGATCAAGGTGGAACTAGGGTGCTAACTTTGCCTTCCTTTATTGGCCAACCTGAAGGGACACATACTGTCTGGAGAATTAGTGAATACAGATGGTGAAGTTGGGCATGACAATCTGTCTGTGAGGGTTTTGAAAAGGAAAAATTATAGATGTGTATAAGTATCCTAAGAAAATAAACCCAGCATATTGGAATAGGATGATAACTTTGAGTCCGGTGAGCATGTCTACCTTGGTTCTAAGCTAAAACAAAACACCTCTGCATTTCACAGCTGAAATAGAGATCTTTTCTATATGGAATCAATTGTTATTTCAATAGCAGCAGAATTTATGGAAGCTCAAGTCACACTGTACACATTCAGAAAAAGGCACTCACAATCTGAGTCCATGATGGAGGGGTGTTGGCAAATGAGATCTACTTGAAAAGGAAAAATCTTTCCTTTTTCCAATTGTGGGTTATCAGAGAAAAGGATACATAGTAAAAGGAATCACAATCCAACTGTTGAACCCATCTTGATCCCTATGTGGATTTTCACCAGCTTGGAATGCATGCTATGCCCCCCTCCAAAGGAATGAGCTTTCTCCATCCTAGTGCTTTTAACATGGAATGTAAACCATGAATCCCATCCTTTACTGCTCCAATGTTTGCCATCATCTTGGTACCCTAAAGGTCCTGTATGTTTTAGGAGATAAGATGGAGCTCTTTGTCATTTCCAAACATGCTGGAAAGACCATTTATTCCATGATATACTGCTCTTTCATTGCAGAAAATTAATGGGAAAATAGTCCCATAGTAAATATACATGATAAGCCTTTCCACTTGTAACTGATTGGGGAAAAGCATTGTTATAAAAAGCAGGTGGAGGACTTCAGAGCTAGTCAGCACTTTCCTTAATTCTTTGTTGAACTTTGTCTGAAAAATAAACTAACCCAATGTTCTTAATCCCACACTGAACCTAAAAACAGGAAGAAAAAAGGTATCTTTGAGGACAGCTACTTTCCCCAAATTAGTACTCTCTGCAGTGTATGTGTCTGAGGTCATTTCCCACAATTCCCATGGTTCTCAGACAGACAGTATATTTGGAAATGGGGGAGGGAGTCCTAATTTGGGAAGGTGTTAAGTACAGCATTAACAAATATTGTCTAACTCCAAGAACTTCCACTTTTTAAAAAATAAAGGCACTAAAGAGTCAACTTGTGGCAAGACGGATGACAAATTTAATAAATAAATAAAATATTGGAAGACAGGCCTTAGGACAAGATATAATGTGAGAATTTTTTCCTGAAACGAACCTTGTAGCACCAGTAATTATTGATGTATTTCCCAACATTGTTGCTATTGAGGCCAAAATACGGATGTACTTATCCCCTCTGAGTTCTGCAGGAGGTGAGATCTCTTGGTCCATAAATATGTTGCCTTCACTACCTTCAAAAACCACATACTTTGCTCCCAGTTGCTGCTTCAGGAGCTTCACCTGGCTCAGGAACCAGAGCACTGCAGCCTGACTGGTTACATTCAGACAGGCTGAAAACTGCCCTTTCCATTTGGTGAGGAGTGGCACCTGTAATGGAAAGGTGGACATAAGAAAGCTGTAGCAGAAGTGGAGACTAATTCCTATAAATGGATTAGCCAACTAAATTCATCCGATAAATTGGAGGACTAAAAAGCTCAGCTTTGATTATATAGTATTAGACTTACAGAATTTATGTATGATCTGCAAGTAGGCAAATTGAGTGAATAGAGATGAGAAACGTAACAAAGAAAAGCCAATAGATGAAAGGTGAATGAATATAGGGTAAGACGACTGGTTTGCCAAGATAGAAAAGGTATAATGAATAGTGTTCACTATACAAATTTTAGCTTTCTTTTCTCATATCTTATCTCTATTGTTTCTGTGGCTTACTGTTTCTTATTCTTTTTCTGCACACTGTGTACACTGAAAGGAAATTTAATAGCATTTTGTACTACTCCAATATAAAACATTCTGGACTGTCACACAACACGCTTATCTCTGTACACTATGTATAAAATATTTCCATGCCAAAGTTTCCACTTCTTAATCTTTCACAAGATTATGCTTCACACTTTGAAGCATAACTGTGATGGTTCTCTTTTCAGGCAACCCCAGAATGCTGAAAACATGTTGAGGACACTGCAGTCCAATCAGTGCTCACTTTCTAATTGATCAGAAGAGTATTGCCCAATGAATGTCTCACCCCCTAACCTCCCACAGATTCTGGAGCAACCTTCCATCCTTCAGCCTTCCATCCTTCCGAGGTGGGTAAAATGAGGACCCAGATTTTTGGGGGCAATATGCTATTTAGGATACTGTCTTTGGTGTAAGCCGCCCAGAGTCCTCAGAGAGTGGGCGGCATAGAAATGTGACTAATAAATAAATAAATAAATAAACGAAGGTCACTCAGAGAAGGAAACATAATACAGGTAGTCCTTGACTTAAGACCACAATTCAGCCCAAAATTTCTGTTGCTCAGTGAGATCATTGTTAACTGAGTTTTGATCCATTTTACAACCTTTCTTGCCCCAGTTGTTAAGTGAATCGCTGCAGTTGTTAAGTTAACAACATGGTTGTTAAGTGGACCTGGCTTCTCCATTGACTTTGCTCATCAGAAGGTTGCAAAAAACGATTACATGATCGCACGACAATGCAACTGTCATAAGTATGAATCAGTTGCCAAGCATTTGGATCTTGATCTATAGGGATGCTGCAATAGTTGTGAGTGTGAAAAATGGTCAGAAGTCCCTTTTTTCAGTGCTGTTGTAACTTCAAACGATCATTAAATGAACTGTTGTAAGTCAAGGACTACCTGTAGATGTTTAGGGTCTCCCCAAGGTGGTCCAGTATTTTGCAAAAGCAAGAAAAAAGTGGTTAATCACAGACCCAAATCACAAGCACATGACTATACGGATACTGTAATATAAGTGCAAGGACTGATCGTAAGTCATCTTTTTCATTGCCATCCTAAGTTCAAACAGTCACTAAATAGATGATCATAAGTTGAAGATTACCTTGTAATGTGATTCTTTCCTTCTGACATTTGCTAACTCTAAAATAGCATTAGAAGTTCCTGCAACTTGGATTGGGATTCTTGCCTATCACTCCATCCATAAGCATAATGTGCCTATGTCCATGCAAGTAAATAACAGCGACTTTGAAAAAAAAATATAGAGGGAGCTGAGCAGGGTTAAATTCCTCCCTCCTCCCTTAATACCCAAATCCCGGCAAGAGGAGAGTCCATCCGAATCAATTGGAACGTGGCACAATTTTTAGAACAAAACAATCAGGTAATCCAATCACTCACCTCTGCTTTATACAGATTTTGGGTCTAATTTTCCCTTAAAATAAATCAAGCGGCCAAATAATCCTATGATATAAATGACCACTAAATGCAATGGGCCAAGTAATAAAGACAACATTCGCAAATTGTACCGAATAGTCACCGGATTCAGAATGGCGGCTCAACCAGAATTCTTCGTTCTCTTCTTGCAGGGACCTTTGGAAAATTGGTGAGTTGATGCTTGTATAAGGGGACAGAGTGATGGAAAGTTTTAGTGGTTTCATACGGAAGTTGTTCATGATAAATCTCAGTGCATGCAGCCTTTTTCTTCTTAGCAGAGGTAAATAGATGTGATCCTGCATGGGAGTGAGAAGAGAGAACACAATGAGGCTGTACCTTTGTCGCAGAGGTCAAGAACTAGGCTGTATGGACAGTAGGACTAATTGCTTATTATGTAAACCACTGCTTATTAAAGAGAGCTCCAGCTGAGCACCTGAATTACGTAACCAAGAGAGATTTTCCAGTTTCCTCATTGGTACTTTGGCATCAAAGCAGAAACCCAGGAAATAGCACAAAAGAGATGTTGTGTATAGAGCGGTAGGCAAAACTTGAATAAACTCTTTGGTGGTTGTAGTTAAGGGAGCTGAGCACGCTTAGATGGACTTCTGCTTATCAGATCATAACTTTCACCAATGTTATAGTACTGGATGTTTCTCAGGAGTGAAATCTTTCTGGATCAGACCGGATCGCCTGATCCGGTAGCGATTTTTCCCTGTGGTTCAGCGATCTGGTAGCGATTGCCATCAGGGTGTCATTACTTCCTGGTTTTGCACATGCGCAGAAGGTGTGTGTGCAGCACGTATGCTTCCGAACCAGTAAGGAAGGTAAGTAGATTTCACCCCTGATGTTTCTATCTTAGATGTCACTGGGTGAATCTGGTCAGGGCCTAGACAGTGTGTTAATAGGAGCCCCAGAAGCTGCTTGTCAATTTCTTGTCCAAATAGTTGTTTCAACAGTGTAGATTAGAAGTCCTGAAAGTATAGCTCAGGGAGTACAAAACAGAATGCCTAAGTCTGGTGCGGTCCTTCCTTCCTTCCTTCCTTCCTTCCTTCCTTCCTTCCTTCCTTCCTTCCTTCCTTCCTTCCTCCCTCCCTCCCTCCCTCCCTCCCTCCCTCCCTGTTAAAACCATAACAATTATAGCTAATGAGTATACCAATAGCTATTAAATACTGTTATAATGAAATACCTGGTGGCTCAAAAAAAAAAAAAGATTTGTTGGCCAAGCATTTGAAGAATGAAATTCTGAACTGTAATTTGATGCAGAATATTAGAATTATAAATTGTTGAGGAATGAATTTTGTGGATGATAACTTGGATTTGCTGCACATACCATATTTCGAAGTAGCATTGTAGACTCTTCACTGAGAGCAATTATACCCTCCCCAAGATTATGTGTTTGAAGCTTATTGTAGAAAGACCTCAGTCCTCGCTTCATTTGAGCAACAGAATCAACTATACCGTAATATCTCCAGACTGGCAACCTGTTAAAAAGAAGAGTCTTGCTTGATTTAACAACAACTGATTAGCCTGGATCACAGATTTTGTGATCATAAAAATAATATATTGTCTACATAATTGGGTTATACCAACAGAGAATTTTCAGGGTTTTTTTTTTTGAAAAACCCTTTCTTTTCGACTGCTATGCACAAAAGTTTCTTACATCCATAGTAGAAAAGAAATAGAAAACTTATATTTGGTCAAACTGAGTGGAGCCTGAGTGGCGCAGCAGACTAATGCTACTGTTAAAGGTAGTATTTAGCTTCCAGCTGCCTGCAATTACTGCGAGTTCAATTCTCACCAGGCTCAAGGTTGACTCAGCCTTCCATCCTTTCTAAGGTAGGTAAAATGAGGACCCGGTTTGTGGGGGCAATAAGCTGACTTTGTATAAAATATACAAAGTATGAAGGCTATTGCTTAGCGCATTGCAAGCCGCCCTGAGTCTCCGGAGAAGGGCAGCATATAAATAAATAAATAAAAAGTAATCCAACATGTGACTCAAACCTTTGTAATTAGTAAATTGTTATGTTAGACCCCCTTCTCACTCTGTCAATTATGTTCAGTCGGTGTCTGACAAATGGAAATAAGTGAAGAAGCCTTGGTTCCCAATGAGGAAATTTTTGTAAGGAGGCCAGACTCTGAGGGTGAAGGTCACAGTCGGTAGGGTGATTATTAGACGGGTTGATGTCAGGCACAAAAGATCAGGTCCATCCAGTTAAATTGATTTATTGCTATTTACGCCTGAGCACAGGAATATTCTTATCTAACAGTTAGCACCTGCTAGGAGTTAATGGATTGGGGGGGAGGGGATTGGACTTAGCTCACTTGTGGTTATGTAGAGATTCTAAGTTGATTCCTCTTTTAATTCCACCCCCAGATTCTGTCATTCCTTTCCCGACAGTCGATATTCTATACATATAGGCACAGCACTTTTTGTTACTTTTTCCTAGATTTGATAGAGTTCTCCTGATTTCTTTATGTTTTTCAACTATTTTAGGTCTTACAATAGTCTTTTTGTACCCCACTCAAAATGGCAGCAAAACATGTCCCTCCATCTTTGGGAGCCACAGTCTGATTTTCAATCTGATTTAGGATCAAGCTATATGTTTGTGACTTTTTCTCCCAGTCTGGAGCTCTTTTAATATGTAAGGACAGCAATTCCCAGAATTCCCAGATCTTGGCATTAAATAACTGCTTGAGATATCATCTAACACTATGACACTTCATTTAATTCTTACCTAAGTATGTCTGTATCTGGCAACCTTCTTTGTTGTCTCGGAAGTCGACTTCCCACTAGTTCCTGATGAGCAGATGTGATGTTTTGACTCATGCACACAGTGTACTGCAGGACAGCCCTGTCTGGGCCAGGAATATTTTCAAGGGAAAAATGTCTATTTCTCTCCACTGAGAGAGAGATTGGTGTATCTGAAACCATCATCACGGTTACTCCTTCAATGATAATACACAGAAAAGCATTATTCATGAATCATTAAATACTTTTTCAATATATATATATATATTGTGAAAGATAAAGTTCCAAAGTAGTTTGCAATTGCTTTCTTCTGACATGTTTTTTTTCCAGATTCCCAGTATCACCCATCTCCTCCTACTTAGGACTATAACTTGTTGCTGTATCCTTACGATTTATATTGATTGTTTCCTAGTATGATTTTATTGGTTATTTGTACCCTATGACTATCATTAAGTGTTGTCCCTTATGATTCTTAACGAATGTATCTTTTCTTTTTATGTACACTAAAGACAAATGCACCAAAGACAAATTCCTTGTGTGTCCAATCATACTTGGCCAATAAAGAATTGTATTGTGTTGCATTGCGCTGTGCTGCATTGCGTTACGCTGCATTGCATTGCATTGTATTGTATTGTATACTCAGCCAAGATGGACTATGTGCTAGCATCTGCTGAGACAATTTTTGTTGGACACAGTGGGAAATACGAACTGTCCCCCATCCCTCTTTGAAGATGTTGATTTTTCAAGGTCCCTTTTTTATTAGTATCTTAATTTGTCAACCTAGCCTAGTGTATTGGATTGCAGCTTCCTTTATGTCTATCCTTGTAAATGGAGTTCTAATACAATACAGGACTGTGGGTCTTTATGTATGAGTGTGTATATTGTATACATAAAGTCACACAAGCCTTGTACATATGATTACGTTATTTTATTTATGTTGCTTGTAGGTGAGACTGCATAAACATTCTGTTGTTTACAGATGGAGTATGTATAATAGATATAATTAATTCCATAGTCTACAAACATTGATGGAAACTCTGAGTAATTAGATTTTTTTTTTAATCAATAGTATCTCCAAGCCAAACACCATATGAGAGAGGCGTTCCCTGATTTTCAGATTTGTGGATCCTGGCAATAAATCCTCTTCACAGTATGAAACTTAGTTCTGAACTGTGGGAAACCTTTAGAAGGAAGCATTTCCCCTTGATCTGCTACAATGGGACAGGGCAGAGACACTAGGCTAGACAGAAGCTCAGTGATACACAATACTTAGAACATTAAACATGCTTTACAATGTAAAGTGTGGCAAATGTTTTTAATGCTGTCATGCTGTTTATGCCCCTTAAGATGGAAAGGAAGGGTGAAATAGGTCCTCCTCCCTATTTCGAGATATTTTAACAAATGGAAAAGTGTCTGCAACAGAGGTGGGTTTCAGCAGGTTCTGACCAGTTCTGGAGAACCGGTAGCGGAAATTTTGAGTAGTTCGGAGAACCGGTAGTAAATATTCTGACTGGCCCCGCCCCCATCTATTCTCTGCCTCCCAAGTCCCAGCTGATTGGGAGGAAATGGGGATTTTGCAGTAACCTTCCCCTGGAGTGGGGTGGGAATGGAGATTTTACAGTATCCTTCCCCTGCCATGCCCACCAAGCCACGCCCACCAAGCCACACCATGCCCGCCAAGCCACACTCACAGAACCGATAGTAAAAAATTTTGAAACCCACCACTGGTTTGCATCCAACAGGCTAATTTTATCCTACTCAGTTTTGGACCATACTGCTATCCTATTCTTTGATAAATTTACATTTATAATTCCACTTCATACATCCACTCTTCACATATTTGTAACTTCGTTAAAGTCTATCCTTCCAATCAGACAATTCTGTATACAATTATCAATGAGAAAAAACACATTTATCAATGAGAAAAAACACATCTTTTGTTTTCTCAGCCTAACAGTATTAGGGACTGGAAAGATGTACATGCACATTCATTAATGCATTCATTTGAATTTATATACAGGTAGTCCTTGATTTATGACCACAATCGGAGCCCAAAATTCTATTACTAAGCACGACGCTTGCTTGTCAGAAGATCACAAAAGGGGATCACATGGGACACTGCAACTGTCATAAATACACGCCAGTTGCCAGGCATCTAACTTTTGATCATGTGACCATGGGGATGCTGTAACAGTCGTAAGTGTGAAAGACGATCATAACAATGGCATATTTTCAGTGCCATTATAACTTCAAATGGTTATTAAACAAATTTATTTATTTAGGGAATTTATATTGCCACCTATTCACCCATGGCAACTCAAGGCGGCTTACAGAATATAAAACCTCATATAAAAACAATAAAACTAATAAAAGAAGAGTCATATAATAAATTAATATAATAAAATCACCCCCCGCAGCCCCACCCCAGAGACAGCACCTCACACGAGCCATTTAATAGGTTCCATCCCGCTATGGGTTCCCCAGGCCCACTGGCAGAATCAGGTCTTCAGCGCCTTCTGGAAGTGTGCTAAAGTGGGGGACAGTCTAATCTCTGGGGGGGATGATGTTCCAGAGAGACTTACAAATGGTTGTAAGTTGAGGACTACCTGTACTTCCGAGCTCCCAAGGCTGTGGGTAAGTTACAAATTAGAGGTACAATATGATAAAATATCATCTGATAAAAAGGCAACAGCCTAGTACCAACAATCAATAAGACAACTGTAGCTATGTTACCAAACACCAGGTGAAATGCTATGATTATCACTTTGACAGCTCTATGGAAAGCCAATATCTTGGGGTATGTGATGCGTTTCATGGGGTAAGTCTTCTACATCGACTGTTCTGGAGAAGGACTGTCTTTGATCCCATGCCTCTTCAGTCTCTTGTAAGGTTTACATCCTAAGCAATCCCTCTCTTCTTAACAGCATAGGCTGGGCAGCTTCCCTCCGTTTCTTAAGGTAAAAACTCTTTCGAGTTGAGTTTGATTCTTAGAAACTAACTCTGAGAGTGCCTTCCCAGCACATTTTCAGAGTTGTCTCAACACATCTGGAACACCCCATATTGGCAAAGATGACCTAGTCTCATGCACTGTTGCAAAAGTAGAATGGACAGTGGATACCATTGTGCATAATGCACAGACTGAACTATGTTTTAAAAAATATAACAAATTACTCTCAGTTCTGAGTAATGGGGAGACCAATACTTAAGATGAATAGCCACCCTCCTCCTCTTAGCCTTTCAGGAATGAGGAATAATACTTAGGACCAGGGCCGGATTTAGTTTGAAAGAGGCCCTAGGCTATTCCACTTATGAGGCCCTTTCACCAGTGGTGGGATTCAATTTTTTAACAACAGGTTCTGTGGGCGTGGCTTAGTTGGAGGTGTGGCTTGGCAATCATGTGACCGGGTGGGCGTGGCTAGCTGGTCACGTGACTGTGTATGCGTGGGTAGCTCGTCATGTGACCGGGTGGGCGTGGCTATGTGCATAGACTTTTTTCAGAGGGCTGAAAAAAGTCATTTCTGACTGGGCCTTGCACTTTTGACCGGTCCTCACACTTATGACCATCCTCACATTTATGCCCGTGCAGCTTTCTTAACAACCATGTCACTCATTTCACAACTGCTTTTCTTCACCATGATGACAAGATAGGGCAAAAACGTAAAATGTGAGGACAGTTGTAAGTTCGAGGACTGGTCAAAAGTGCAAGGACCAGTCAAAAATAACTTTTTCAGCCCTCTGAGTACTCCATATGCATAAAAGGATACAGCAATAGAGAGGGATGAAGGAAGGGAAGGGAAATTAGAGTAGGAGTGAGGGTAAGAGGGGGAGGAAGAGAGGAGGAGAAGGAGAAAGGAAGAGGAAGTAGGGAGGAGAAGAAGAGGGGGGGGAGAGAAAGTAAGAAGGAAAGAAAAGAGAGAGGTGGTAGGTTTGAGGAGAAAGATTGCTGTACAATAAAAAAGATGAAAGGGAAGAAAGCCAACCCCAAACAAATATAAAGATATTAAGATAAAGAATGAATGGTTAAACTTTAAAGAATAAAAGAGAACAAATATGAATAAATAGCAGTAATTAGAAACACACATACAAACATACAATTTATTTTCTTTGAACAGAGTATTTGGCCGGTTCACAAATTTAAATAGTGTTTAGTCACTTCAATTAAATTTACAATTTCTATATTTCCTTTTTGCCATATTTATTCCTCATCTATTTTTTTAAAAAAAACAATATTACCCTTCATCCTCATCTCTAATCTTAATCAAATTCAATTTTTCCCTTCTATTCTATATTATACCCCTTTCCATTGTCATCTATTTTTATATCCATCCTCACATTGTTTAATTATGTAATTATGTAATACAGTTGTTTAATACAAATTCAACATTTTAATATAAATCAATTAGTTATAAAACTATCTTTTTTGTATATTAATCAATATGAACATGAATATTCCAATTATTTCCCTGCAATCCAATTTCTTACAAATCAATTAATTATATTTACCAATAATAATAAACCAAATAATTTCCCCCATATATTCCTCTGAACCACAACTTAACCATTTCTGCTTTCAACACAATATACAATTAATAGTATCTCAATTATTACAATTCCCTAGTTAAATACAGCTTTTTTTTCTTTTGTGTTTTAAAATCTTGAACTCTCCTCCTAAATTTCCCATTGTTTGCAGTTTTTCACCTACCTTTTTTGGGGAGGAAAAATAAAAATAAAAATAAATCTCTCTCTGCCTCATTTTGTCACATTGCACCAAAGATCCTGGTTTCGGTTTCGTTTCTGCAGCTTAGCTAGGGGGAAAAAAAACTGCTTCAGGAACTCTTTACACTGATTGCCTGTAGGGCGGCCCTTTGAAGCCCCGGGCAAGAGTTTAAACAGTTTTTTTTTCTTCTAGCCATCAGCTGGGGCTTAAGAGGCAGCGGGACTGAGGAGGCAGAATGAAAAATCGGGACTTTTTTGAAACGCCGCGGGACACGGGACAAATTGCTAAAAATCGGGACTGTCCCGCCAAAAGCGGGACGTCTGGTCACCTTACCCTAGAACCCCCAGAATCCCACCACTGTGTAGGCCCCTCTTGATCTTGAGGCCCTAGGCTGAAGCCTAGTTAGCCTATAGGAAAATCCGGCCCTGCTTAGGACATTAACAAGACATCCCAGATAATGGAGCAGTAACACTTCCTCCTACTCGATAAAGGTGAACAATGGTAGCCAATGTTGGCCAAGTTGTTTTAGCATTGGAGCCAGAAGATCTTACAAAGGACAACAAAGTAATTATCCAAAAATTTGTGGTAGTCCACTTTGCCCAATGTCCTAACAGTTCTTTTTATCTAAGTTTTCAAAGCTGCAAGTGCTATTGTATTTAGACACCACAATTCAGGAAATCAAAGAAGAAAAGGAAACTTACCAGTGGATCCCAAAAAATATCTTTCTAAGACAGAGCCATAAGCATTTGGGCTTTTACTAAGATTACTGATAGTGAATGGTTGGGACTTGATGTTCACACTGTTCAGAGGCCAATGTTGACTACTGACACTGGCTCCTCCATACCAGGAGACATTTACCATGGAAAAGTAATCCTGTAAAGCAAAATACAAGATTAAAGAAAATGAAATCCTGTGCATATGTGAACGAAGAGATTTTTAGCACAATCAGCTTCTGAGGATGGACTATGATCCAGCTAGGTTTATGAGAATGAACATATCCCAAAAGATATGAGGACAGTTCTCTAAACAAGGTCACACACACTGGAGGACAAGGTCCTCTTTCCTGAAGCCTCCTGCCTCGCTTCACTAGGTGAGGGCACAGGAAGAGGACCACTAAATGAATAAAGAACTGGGATAAGTACATAAAAGCGAAGACATTCCTTGATATTTTGGCCCAAGCCATTATGTGCATTAAAAACCAATACCAAAACAATAAATTGAGCTCAGAAATTGACTGGTGATCATTGCAATTGATGAAACTCTAGCATGATATGATCATACTGTTTGTTCTCAATTACAACTTTGTAGCTTTATTTTGAATGTCCCACATAACACAAATCACAGTTACTCAATCAAGAGGTTACTAGAAAATGTATAATTGATACCATAGTATAGGTAGGAAGTCTTCGTCTTACAAACTTTCATTTAGTGATTGTTCAAAATTATAACAGTAATGAAAAAAGTGACTGATGACTGTTTTTGACACTTACAATCATTGTAGCAGCCCCACGGTCACATGATCAAAATTTGGATGCTTGGCAATTGGCATGTATTTTTTGCATGCCATGCGGTTGCAGTGTCTCGGGTCATGTGATCATCTTTTGTGACCTTTTGACAAGCAATGGAGAAGCCAAATTACTAGCTTAACAACTGCAGTGAATAACTTAACAACCGTGGCAAGAAAGTTTTCAAGAAGGGTGCAAATATTTTCAGAAAAGATTGAACGCTACTGATTGAACGCTACTGAGATGGGCAGATGGTTTTCCCACCAATAATATCCTTTACTTGTCTGATATGAACTTCAATTGATTAGCTTTCATCCAATCTATTATCAAACTTAATTCCTTCACTATGTTGTGATCTGCAGTTCTCCTATTTTTCTATGCTTCAGGGAAATTATGAAGGAGTTTTTCAAATTAGTGAGTTGGGCAGCCAAGGTGGCTGCAGAAAATTGGAGAAAAATATAGCAACTACCACTCCCTCCATTCACTACTTTAAAATAATGAGTATATTTATAAATAAAAATACACAATTTTTATCAAAATAAATTCTAAAACATCCTTAGAATGAGATGGAAAAATTAGAAGCCTATTCTGTAGGGGAAGAATATCTTTGTGAAATTAGAGAATAGATTTTTTTTACCATATTAGCTTTCAGTAAATGTCAATGTATTTTTATTTTCCTGTGGCTCCCATTATGAAAAGGTGTTAGTAAAACTGAAATCCAGTTATGAATGATCTCATTGAAAATATCCTTTTTGATTTTTTTAAAAAAATATATAATTAACAAGATTCTTTAGAATAACATTGTTAAAATTAATATGTTGTTCTTATGCAGGGTCAAAAGTTTTGCTATTACAAATTGAAAATGATAGAGAACTCCAAAGGATATGATTTTAAAAAGACTGCTGAAGGCAATGGTATATATGTCAATGTAAGCCAATTAAAATATAATGTGACATGATTAATCCATCCTGTACTCGTATTATTAACAAAGATTTACTATGTTGCTATAAAAAAAAACAGGCAGTGTATAATAATAAGTACCTTGAAGGGATAATTCCTGTATTTACTGCTTATTATGAGAATTATAATCTTTCACTTGAAAAGCCACTTTCTCTGATGTTACAAGATGGCTGTCAGGATTTATTAATAACACTGAATGTTCAATTCCTATATTAGAATTACTTCTGTACTGATTGAGGTAATACTTCCTTCTTGAATCCTCTGCTCCCTTTAATGAAGGTCATTAAAGCTAGCACTAGAGTACAATTTCTTTAGTTTAGCTGACATACAGAAATGCTGCTAGCTGACTAATCTCTTATGGAACACTGCTATTGTTAGACATTTGCCTGTTATCCACAAAGTACTTTACTGTATAGAATAGTGATGGCTAATCTTTTCTGGACTGAGTGCCCAAAGCGTGTGCATGCATGTGAATGTATGTGCGCCCCTGAGAATGTGCGTGTGGGACCGAACCCCCAAAATGCAATGTGCATGCATCCCCCCCACACATGCGCCCAGTCCTCCATGCATGTGTGTGCGGGGTCCCGCACATGCCCAGCACCCCATATATGCACACGTCCCGCACATGCGTGGCAGAGATCCAAAGGCCAGCTGAGACGCGCATGCACGGCAGACCTGAACTGGGGCGACGGCTCACGTGCCATCTGAGAGGGTGCTGTGTGCCACCTCTGACATGCATGCCATAGATTCACCATCACAGGTATAGAAGGTAGCAGGATGTGAAGAACAAGTTTCCAACTTCAAACCAATCCATGGTCATTATAATATCAGTAGAAGGTTCCTGTATTTACAACCATCTATATAATTATAACAGACATGAATAATCTGAATAGTGCCATCAGCTCCAAACTTGCTTATAAATGACGCAACTTCGAGCCTACTAATAAATTTGACAAAAGGCTGGTGTTGCCTTGTTATGTCTTAGGGGTTCCTCAGGACAGAATGGGTCCACTAGACTGAGTTAAACACCTCTATGAATCACTCATGCTCAACAATGGTATTCTAAAAAGCATCATCCCATCAAGTCCAGCAGTTCGTTCTCACACTCACAGTGGCTAACCAATTGCACAAAGTGACTCAGTATTTTCCCAGCAGATGGCCTTCACTATTAGCTAGGCTAATAGCCATTAATCCACGTGACTTCCATGAATTGGTTTAATTCATTTTTTGAAGCCAGCCAACCTGTAGACAGCACTATATTTTATACCAAATTTATATTTTGCTGATAAAGAAATAAAGGGAGACTAGTATAGATCTATTTCAAGCTATTTAGCTCTCATCAGCTAGCCATACCCTTACTCGGATTCAAACATGGGCTGCCTGCATATTAGGCAGTTGTATTAACCTCTGAGCCACAAGTTCTCCTTCTTTTATCAGCTTGAGCCAGCGGAGAGATTAAGTGTTTTTCTGTCGAAGCACCTGGTCTATCCCAATATAATATATATATATATATTATCTGTCCTGATTCAACTAAGATTTTGTTTGATCGGGTGACCTTAGATTGGATCTGAATGTATGGATTTCAAAGGACTGGGTCATCTGTCATTGGAGTCATTTAAAGTTGAGGTTTAAACATTGAGGGTTGTTTTACAACTGTACTATTTCTAAATGCTATTCAAATAGCTTAGGCCAGGGGTGTCAAACCCACGTTGTCATGTCACCGTCACGTGACATATTGTGACTTTTCTCCCTTTGCTAAACCGGGCATGGGCATGGCCAGCATGTGATGCATCTGGCCTATGGGCCGTGAGTTTGACAACCCTGGCTTAGGCTATTACAAAATTATTAAAATTGCTCAAATCAGTCTCAAACATATTTTAAGTTGGGATTCAAAGGGCTGGAAGATGGAAAGCTGGCTAGCTGGAAGTCTCCTGAGACAGTTCTGGGACTGTGGACTTTAATTCTGGGAGTTGAAGTCCACAAGTCTTAAAGTTGCCAAGTTTGGAGACCCCCTGGCAGAAGATATAACAAGACCTTTTAGAGTTCATGTGTGATCTCTCATTTTCCAAGTTACCAAGATCTGATTCTGAAAAGATTTGGCTTTATTTTTGCTGCAGTTGGTGGACCTCTTAAAAAAAAATAAAAAGAACTATGATTCATTGTGATGGATGAAAATTAACCTTGCATAATCCTCATGCTTAAAATGGAGTAAATTTATTCAACTGTTTATACTATTTCTATTATGATTTCTTCCTTCTTTTGCTGTCATTCCAGAAATTTGGAATGGAAAAGCATTTCTCACACAAACTGCATAAATTTTGAATTTATTTTCCAGGAATGCCTAACGTATTAGTAAATAATTTCCAAATGAGGCCATTTTTTGAAGCTGTGAAACTGTATGGCAATTCAGAGGCCTCTGTATTTTACTATTTTCCACAGTATCTCCTTTCCCTCCTTTTTCTTTCTTCTCAACACTTTTATGGAAAAAGACAAAAGCTCTACATAATGCCTTTTGATTGACAGTGTATACAAAGAAACCGGAAAGGGGGCAAAAAAGAGAGATCAGTTGTTTATTACAAAACACATTTTCATTAAATTTCTTTAACATTACATTCCCATTGTCCTTAATCTCAAATATAAAAACTCTTGGGCTGCAATATTCATTTTGCAAGATCTCAATTATTAATACGTTTGTTTGGAAGGAGAGCTAATTTCTCATTGTAGATTATTTTCAATTATGTATGCCCATACAGTACATGCATCTGAAAACACCTCTTTTCCAGCTTTGCATGTCCAAAAAGCAGCACAGTTCTTACATTTTGGTTCTGATAGAAAAATATCTGCTAGTTTTGAAATTACTTTAATCTAAAGCCTTCACACATAGACAGGGTAAATATAGCAAAGAAGAATTCTGCTGTCATTTGGACATTTAGCTTTGGTGGCCAATTGTTATTTTTAACTCCAAGCTGGTCAAATGCATATTCTTTCTTCACATCATTACTATCTTGACATCACCACAGCTGAATTTGCCTTGTCATAAAGTTATTTAGAGAATACAATAGAAGTAAAATAAAGGAAAGCTATAATTAGTTACCTTTACTTTCAGCTGGCAGTGAAGGGGAGTCCAGTTGATATTGTAACACTCACTGTTGGGAGAAGGATTGGAGTCCAGGAAGACCTTCAGTTCAGCTATACCTTCCCAGGTGTAACAGAATTCTGACCGATTCTGCCAACATATGTTCTTTATGAAAGGCATCTCCACCTCTGGGAAGCTTCCCATGCGAATCTTTAGCAAGGTTCTTTCTTCTTTCAAAGTCTGAAGGATGAGACTGTGATCTTTTCGATCCCAAATCAGACCACTGGCACTACTTCTCAGGATCCAGTTTGTGTTTGGCTGATCCACTACTTGCCAATAAATAATCCCAATGGTCATCAGAAGGAAGACCACTACCCCAAAGCAGGCAATCACTCCTTTCCAGGTTTCATTCATTTCCTTTAGCCCAGAATCCCACATCGCCTCTGGGATTGCACTGGGGTTGTTCCTAGGATGATTGTAAGGCATTGTTTTAATCAGCAAAAAAGACAGAAGGAGTAAAAGGAAGAGGAGGAGGAAATCTGGCAAGGGATTTCAGGGCCCCAAGCTTTCTGTTATTGAATTTTACAGGAAATTCTGTTCTCTCTCCCAGCTCCACCCCATAGACCTTGGCTGTCTATCAATAATTCCACACTATTGGTACCCAGGAAGGGGAAAAACAAAAAGAACTGGGCAGAATAATACTCCTGAAAGGTTTTCTCCATGCATTCTTCAAGATGAGACTTAAAACTGAGGAAGTTATTTGAGCCGGTGCTGCAGAAGCAGTGTAAAGGGAGGGAGCTCGGAAAAGAGAACTGCAAATAATGTGGAATACCAGGTCCATTTGTCCTGCCAGATTTTCCCCAGGTGCTTGACATATCTCTGGCATGTCTGAGGTTGCCTAATCAGGAACGCTGTCCATTGCTGAAGGAGGCCTGAATGCTCCCGAAAGCCTTGCCTTTAAAGAAGAGAGACCTGCTTATTGAACAAGCAGGTTTGAACCAAACATCAGCACAAGTGCTTACTGATACAACTAAAAAAGGCTTAGCTTTCTTTGTTGTTAACGATCATCCATAGAATTTATTTGTTCAACTTGTATGCTGCCTTTCTCTGAAGACTCAAGACTATCATAAGGTGCTTCTTATTTTGAGTTCCTTAGTTGTTATTTTTTTCAAAGTTTGATTGACACCTCTACATAGACTTTTGATTAACTCTATGTAGAGGTGTCAATCAAACTCTGAAAAAAAATAACAACTAAGGAACTCAAAATAAGAAGCATCTTATGATAGTCTATGGATGATCGTTAACGACAAAGAAAGCTAAGCTTTTTTTAGTTGTATCAGTACAACTAAAGTACACTAGTACTTTAGTACACTAAAGACAAGCAGCTTCCTTGTGTGATGTGTTTAGAGATGTGCATGCACACAAGCACACACATATCAATTGAAACCATCAGTTCTGAAACAACTTTGATGGTTGTCTAGAATTCTGGTAACCTAACAATAGCTGATCAGATTCTTGAGGAAAAAAGTTACATTATTTTGATTCTATATTACAGATGAGGAAATAAAAAGGAAACTAAACTCTTCTTTAATGAACCCCTTGGTAAGACAGGCAAACAAGCATTATTCAGTGTTCTTTTCATGTATCATAATGGAAGAGTCCTTACCTGGTCTTAACGGCCTGTGGTGCTCACCTGTTCCAACCTCTAGAACCTGATGACCATATTAGAAAGGCAAGAAAAGAACTGACAGTTCCTTCGGCAGATTGGTTTTGCGTAATCCAAGGCTTTTAAAACACTGCCAGCAAAATCCTGGAGAAGTTTTGGCAGAAAAACAGGAGGTTTAGTGCTAATCTCAGAGCAAAATGTATCACCAATATTGCTTTCAGCTTGATACCCTTGAACAATCACGTTGCTGGGTTCTGCAAACCACCGCGATAGGCTACCAGGGATGACATCCTAAATGTTGCTATGATATAATTCACATCAGCCTGGTCCAGTGTAATAAGACACAAAGGCAGCCTCTCCAGTTCTGATAAAATCCAGGCATCCAAGTTGGCCAGATTTGTTATAACTTGCATGTGATAAAACCCAGCAAAATGTTTAGAAAGTATACTCAGCACAGAGGTCAGACACAGCACAAGCAAGATGTTGCCACTTTTTGAAAGATGGTAGCTGCCTTACACTGAAGGTTACGTAAACATGCCTTGTTAGACTAAGGAAAATTTTGGGAACACGGAGTTCTTTTTAAAAAACTTATGCGTCTGTAAATGTGTGCACGTGCTCGCAAAGTTTCTAGAGAGTGAAATCTGAAACGGAGATTCATATGAGAAAGCTGAACATCTTCTTTAGAGATTTTTATTGTTTGGAATTGTTGGCGGTTGAAGCGTTGTGTCTCTGTGAGTGAGTGTTCCTGAAAGCAGGAATTTGATGTGAGCAATAACTAATGAAACTAGTTTTATATCTATAACAGAAATGAGATTTACTCATAGGAAATACACTGTAGCAGCAGGCAGGTAGGGCAACTAAGAACATATGCAGGTATGAGAAGAAGAAAAGTAAGAAGGATGTGATCTCAGATTAGCAATCTTTTAGACAAGAAGCAAGCAGAGTGCTACAGAGAGTGGATGCAGAATAAATCCTGTGTTATCTGTCCCCTATTCCCCAACCCTCATGGTCAGTAGATCATGAAGCACAGAAGATTCCAATGATGTGGGCTTTAAACCACCAACACAATTATACATGTAATGACTCCACAGAGAGATTTTGGTTCTTCCCACCTCCCAAGAAGGTGAAGGTAAATAGAAATATCAGATTTGACATTTGACTACTCTTTTTTTTAATGCAAATTATCTCTAGATAATAATTTGGATTCAGAAGACATTTCCACTGGTGAAAAAGCAGGGGTCATTTCTTTCTTTCTTCAGGAAGGCACCCCAACTTCCTTTGCTTGAGGAGGGTATCCCTGCTCGTGCATGCCCTCCCAGCAACAGCTGGCCAGGGGTTTGTGTGAGAAGGAGGAGGAGGAGGGTCGTCTTGAGGGAAGCTGCCACCGTGGCTCGTGCTCGCTCCTCAGCTGTGGGCCTGTCCCCCTTTCCGTCGTACCCTCCTCCCGGATCCGATTCCCACCCCGGCAGCCCTCGTATTAGCAAGGTTGGTGTCAGCCATGGCTGGGTTGGGCAAGTGTCTCGGGGTAGAGAACAGGTCATATGACTGGGTTGGCAGGAGCCGCAGGAGAGGGGCAAAGAACCACATGCGGCTCCGAAGCTGTGGATTGCCGACAACTGACATAACCGGTTTAGTAAATTGGGAACCAGAGCCTATATATATATATATGTGTGTGTGTGTGTGTGTGTGTGTGTGTGTGTGTGTGTGTGTGTGTATGCATATATATGCTGTTCAGTTGTAAATGGGAGCTCACCTTCCCAACTGCTTGTATGAATTGATGTATGGACAGGATCCATGTAGGTTTCATTCATATATTAAAGGAGATGTATATAATTTTCAATGGAGCCTGCTACAATGATACCAACCTCCGCATTGTAGACAGTAACTCTAGAGTCTAAAGTCCTTTAGAGTCTAAAGAAAGCTGTGAACAAAAGTCACTTGGCTTCCAAATAATATAAATTAACATTAGAAAGTATAGAATTGTTTGTAATGTGGGATTTTTATTTGGGATCTCTGATGACCTCTAAACATCATTTTTTAAAAATAAAAATGTGGATTTCTGGTGTTTAATGGCAATCACATGATCTACTATCCTGGTTCCCCCATCAGTTTTCGAGGTTTTCTCCTAATTTGGACTGTTTCATAACTTCATTGGTAAGTGGATAATGTTATACGTTTTCTCAAGTTACAGCTTTTTGTGAGACATGGACTCTAAAGTGCGTCACCAGAGGAAAAAAATGACCTCCTGCTATTCTTTAATTTTCCTTTTCAGCCAGCAACACAGAACAGAGAGCAACTGAAGAGGAATCAGCCCTTTCCCTCTCAGAGGAAGTTGAAAGAATAATATTAACTCCTGATCTTTCAACACTCCAGAGATTTCAGAGAGATAGTTTGATCTTGAATTCTTGTAACTTTAAAAACTCTTGTTCATAATTAAAAACTAGTTAAAAGTAATGCAAAGGATCTAAAAACCAATTTCACCAGTTTTTATCATCTTACTCACAAACATATCTGTCAACTGGATACTAAGTCTAAGGATATATACACATTGTCATTGTTACAAGTATGGGCCTCTAACTGTTCCTGGAGTGCAGGATTGGATCGTCTACTCTGCCCCAGCACACCATAAAGATGACCTTTATATAAGTTTTGCTGCTTCACATTAAAAGTCCTAACCAGTTTGTATCAAGTCAAGCATAACTATCTGGGTTGTCTGCTGTGCCTGTGGTTTCAGTGGCAGCTATACAGAACTGTAGGAATAGCCTCTCGGCTGGGTCATTTGGTTGTGCCTGCAATTCCTTAATCTTAGCTGTAGCTTCTGATAGCAATAGTGTTCAAGTAGCATAGTGTTATAATATTTGCCTGGAAAGCAAAGGGTCACTGGTTCAGATGTTTGTAAAATTATTGTTTTTCTTTCACTGAGCTACTCACATTTTTCTAGGTTTTTTATTCCAGTCCAGAAAGAAATTTTTTTTATTCCCTAGTCCAGGAGTGTCAAACTCAAGGTGCACATGTGATGAAGCAAAAATTTTTTTTGAGTATGATTCATATTTTAATAAAGAAAATTTTGAAAATGAAGATAAATGAAATCAGAAATTTTCCTTTTGGGCCTAATGGAAAAAGACCTGGAGTAAAAAATTGGAACTTTATTACTATATATGTTGACAGCAGCAAGATTATCGTATGCATGAAAATGGAAGGACACGTCTATTTCTACCGTTGTTTCAGAAATTGATGGAGTTGGCTGTTTTAGTTCTGGCTGTGCACCGCCCTGAGTCCACTAGGAGAAGGGCGGGATACAAATTGAATAAAATAAATAAATAAATAAATAAAATGGCAAAATTGACTATTTTGATTAAAGAAAAGAATATACAGTAAACACTTTTGTTTCCACATGGAGACCGCTTCTGAACTTTGTGCTTGAAGTGGAAAAGAATGAAACTTTGATTCTGGGTTTTACTGATTAGATTGACAGATTTATAGAAATGGCTAATTTATATTATTATGAAAAAACAAAAAGTTGTGATTTGATGTTAATGCCTTATTTTACTGCAACAGAGAGAGTCGGAAGTCAATGGTTCTTTTATATACAGTACTTGGCCTATACTCACTGATGAGATGATGTGATTACCTAGCTCGGCAAGCAAACACCAAGAGAGCACAAGGATTCCATACTTTGATTAAGTATTGCCTAGAGTATATAAGTCCCAAAGAGGCAAACAGTGTTGTGGTCCACCAGCAGCCTGTGGAGCTGGCAGCAGAGTCGGACAGAGAGGAGGCTGGGGAGGAACATGGGACAGTCCTGGAGTCTGGGGAGGGATTGGATGAGGGCTCTGCGTCGGAGGCAAAGATTATGTGCTGACTCCGGAGCCTCCAGAGTCTGACGTCAGTGGGGCAAAGGAACAGGGGGAGCCTGTTCCCAGTGCGCGAATGCGCCAGAAGGCAAGAACAGTTAAGACAAAAGGGGTGACTTGGGAGTAAGGCTTGGACCCTCCCATAAGACATAAAGGAGGAGCAAAGGCACGTGAGCCTTTGCAGGAAGCAACTTTGTTCATGCTGGTTGGTTTAAATTCTGAAACTCCGTTTTGACTCTGTGCTCTGTGTGGCCTTGCAAAGCTAATTGCCAATTAGGTCTTTGGCAGTGTGTCAAGGGAGATAAAGGTGGATGCTTATCAGCCTTATCCCGAAGGACTGTGGCAGACTTCTGTCAGACTTTTTACAAACTATTTGTAACTCATCACGGGCTGTGAATGAACAGAATTCACAGCGGTTGAAATAAAAAGAGGGTTTTGGGATTAATTGTGTTCTTTTTACTGTCTCAGGAAGTCTAGGTCAGAACAAACAGCAATGAAAATTAGGTATAGCATAGCATAGCATAGCATAGCATAGCATAGCATAGCATAGCATAGCATAGCGTAGCATAGCATAGCATAGCATAGCGATAAATCAGACTGGAGAAGATTTGCTTGGCATCTAGTTGTAGGTGCACCAACACTGGAGTTTTTTAAGATTGGACAGCCATTTGTCTGAAATGTTATAGGATTTCCTGCGGGTTGGACAAGAGGACCTCCAAGGTCCCTTTCAACTCTGTTGCTCTGTTATTCTGATGCATTAAAGAGCCTTGGTGGTGCAGCAGACTAAAGTGCTGTTAAATAGCACTTAGCTGCCAGCTGCCTGCAATTACTGTGAGTTCAAATCTCACCAGGCTCAAGGTTGACTCAGCCTTCCATCCTTCCGAGGTAGGTAATCCGAGGACCCGGATTGTGGGGGCAATAAGCTGACTTTGTATAAAAAAGAACACCGCTTGGGGGGGGGGCAAAAGTCCTACTGAGCAGGTATATACAAAAGTATGATGGCTATTGCTTAACGCATTGTAAGCCGCCCTGAGTCTCTGGAGAAGGGCGGCATATAAATCGAACCAATAAATAAATAAATAAATAAATTTTAAAAATCCTTCCATTTTGGTCATGTTAAACAATAACTTTCCTTTGCTACAATTTCACAGGGGCAGAATTCATTTTTCAAAAGCTCAGAAGACAGATAAAATGCGGACAATGGAAACTCTATCTTTCTTCCAA